ATTGGCCGATGGGTTATTTTCCAGGACAGAATACCATGACGTGTTCCACTCACCAGTACTCACCAGTAGACTGAAGTCATGTCATGTTATAAAACAAGTTATAACATAAATATTTATAAACTCAAACGGCAGTTACACATTAGTCTGATTGATGCGCGAACGCTTCGGAGTCAATGCGAAGCTACATACAAGATTGCGCCTGATTGGCTATTCATCATATGCTCATTTGCATATATGCTTCGCGGAGCCAATTGGCTCTTTGTGGAATAATAAATGCGATGGGTTCAATAAATCTGTATATTTATAAAAAAAAATACACATCGCTTTGTTTCATTGGAATTTTGAATGAGACTGATATTGAATAAACGTTTTGTTTATGAATAAATTTATAGATATAAACAATGATGTGAGCGTCCAGCACTACTGTATTAGGTTATTTTACATACCATGGTTATAATAGTGCCTATATTTTACATTCCAGGGTTATAATAGTGCCTGTATTTTACATACCAGGGTTATAATAGTGCCTGTATTTTACATTCCAGGGTTATAATAGTGCCCGTTTTTTACATACCATGGTTATAATAGTGCCTATATTTTACATACCATGGTTATAATAGTGCCTGTATTTTACATACCAGGGTTATAATAGTGCCTGTATTTTACATTCCAGGGTTATAATAGTGCCTGTATTTTACATACCAGGGTTATAATAGTGCCTGTATTTTACATTCCAGGGTTATAATAGTGCCCGTTTTTTACATACCATGGTTATAATAGTGCCTATATTTTACAAACAAGGGTTATAATAGTGCCTGTATTTTACATTCCAGGGTTATAATAGTGCCTGTATTTTACATACCAGGGTTATAATAGTGCCTATATTTTACATACCAGGGTTATAATAGTGCCTGTATTTTACATTCCAGGGTTATACAAGTGCCTATATTTTACATTCCAGGGTTATAATAGTGCCTGTATTTTACATTCCAGGGTTATAATAGTGCCTGTATTTTACATTCAAGTTCTAGGGTTATAATAGTGCCTGTATTTTACATTCTAGGGTTATATTAGTGCCTATATTGTACATTCCAGTGTTATAATAGTGCCTGTATTTTACATTCCAGGGTTATAATAGTGCCTATATTTTACATTCCAGGGTTATTATAGTGCCAGTATTTTACATTCTAGGGTTATAATAGTGCCAGTATTTTACATTCCAGAGTTATAATAGTGCCTGTATTACATTCCAGGGTTATAATAGTGCCTATATTTTACATTCCAGGGTTATTATAGTGCCAGTATTTTACATTCCAGGGTTATAATAGTGCCAGTATTTTACATTCCAGAGTTATAATAGTGCCTGTATTTTACATTCCAGGGTTATAATGGTGCCTGCATTTTACATTCCAGGGTTATAATAGTGCCCGTATTTTACATTCCAGGGTTATAATAGTGCCCGTATTTTACATTCCAGGGTTATAATAGTGCCCGTATTTTACATTCCAGGGTTATAATAGTGCCTGTATTTTACATTCCAGGGTTATAATAGTGCCCGTATTTTACATTCCAGGGTTATAATAGTGCCCGTATTTTACATTCCAGGGTTATAATAGTGCCTGTATTTTACATACCATGGTAATAATAGTGCCTATATTTTACATACCAGGGTTATAATAGTGCCTGTATTTTACATACCAGGGTTATAATAGTGCCTGTATTTTACATTCCAGGGTCATAATAGTGCCTGTATTTTACATTCCAGGGTTATAATAGTGCCTATTTGTACAATAGTTATAATTATAGTGCCTATATTTTACATACCGGGATTATAATAGTGCCTTTTTGTACAAGGGTTATAATTATAGTGTCTATATTTTATATACCAGGGTTATAATAGTGCCTGTATTTTACATACCAGGTCTATGATAGTGCCTATATGTTACCTACAGGAATTATAACAGTGCTTATATTTCACAAACCAGGATTATAACAGTGTCTATATTTTACATACCAGGGTTATAATAATACCTTATATATAGTTCACATCATTCATTTGTAAGTTTCCGGTTTTGTGTGTGAGAAATTTCCGTTTTTCCATCCATCAAAACAATTTGCTCTGGTCATCAGTAATGCTAGAATTTCATGGTCACCAATAAACACCATGAACATGCACGAGGCAATGTATCGGACACCATGCGTTCCCCCCTTTTTATTTCATCGCGTCACCGAGATGGGTCAGGCAAATAGTCGCGCGTTGCCACGGTTAGTTGCCCCGTGTTACCGTTGTTGTCGTCGCGTTGCTCGGCGAGTTGTACCATACACCTTAAGGAGTATGGGTGTACTAATAATCTTCTCGTGTGAAACGGCCTCAATATAAGATCGTGGGTCACATGAGGCAGGGTTTACACGAAATATTTTATTCTATACAGAATTCAGCATTAAAAAAAATTAGTTGCACTAAACGTTTTTGGTTTTTGGTGGCTTTCTGGATGTTTCTTTGCTGATTGGGATAGTTCATTATAAACACTTAAGGGTTCACTTTTACGATGAAAGGACCACTAATAAATTCTCACGAAACGGGGCAATATTCTTGGCTATGATAATATATAATTGTTTAGTCTGCTTAGATGTGAGCTGTTTCGGGTAAAAAAAAAACGTAAATCTACGAATGCGCCAGCTCTAACGGCCAAACGTGTAAATCACCTTAATGCCAATCATCGGTAGACAAAACACGATGCCTGTATACCAACTACCATGAAATATATTGGTAAGTTTTTGACTGGCAGACATGTATCTTGTATATAGCATATGTCCACTCCCTCCACTGTGGACTGTGGCATATGTATATACAATTAGTGGCTACCAGCAACATATTCGCATTTTCGGATTTTTTTTTTAACCGATTCGGGCATATGGAGTCCGATAAAGTCTACTTTTTTCCTCTGTGCGACGGGTCGTATCTAATGAACGACATAGCCCTTGGTGTATACAAGGGGCAAGGGGACACCTTTACAATGACGCCATTGTCGCGTTGCTTTGTGGGATATGTATGTATGATTAATGGCGGTTTTAGGAGGTGCACCCCCTCGTCTATAAATCCCCCACTGAATGACGCAAAGAAAATGTGGATGTGATCATGACATTTTATTTCACCGATTATGAATCGGACTTAAGACACCAACTCATTCAGCACTGGCTCTGTTCAATTGTATACTACTATTCCAAGCCTGTGTTAAAATACCTCTGCTGCCTGTAGAACAAAACCATTGTTGTACTCAATCGTACCGGCGGTGAGTCCATCTGTTTCACGGAGTACAGTGCCGCTTCATTACTACCCTTTGGGATATGGAAAGTGAAGTATCTACGCATGCCCACTGGTCAAAAACACGAGTAGCATTAATTCTGTACAGTTATTTGCTCGTCTCCGATAGCGTGCCCAATTTATGCGACGGATTTAGCCTTCGCGACTCTCAAAATGTGCACCCAAAACGCTGTCAAAAAATAATACCAACGCACAACAACAATTTAATAAAAACCATTGAGGACCTGAGTCCAATAAATACCGAGAAATGTATTACTTTATGTATGAACGTCTGTGGGGATAAACAACATGAGTCCCTGGATTTATCGCACAAACGAACTTAGACATGGTTCACGTTGCTGCTTAAACAAATTATAATTAATTAAAAGTATTAATGATGTCACCGTGGAAACGACAGAGAACTGTTACACGACATCCCGTTTTCAATTTCCTATTGTTAGTCAGTCGAAGGCTGTAAAGTCGTTTTCACTCAATTTCAAGTCCATTGTCCAAACAGCAAATTAACGATTTAATCATTTTTGTCGTGTTGTATTATATATTGACGTATACCGCTTTCGCGTTACATCTATAACGACGCACACCGTTCGCAGTTAGCGAAAATATTGCAATTGTTAAGTTGATTACTAGTATGTTAAAGTGGATTTTTATTCAGAATACTGAACACTGGCAACACGTCTATGCATATAATAGGTCTAATAGGTAAATCTACAAGGAAAATGCCGACAATTTTGTTGTTTTTTTAACACAAAATGTTGTTGAAAAATATATCATTATCGTGACAGTATTTCATGAGAAATGAAACGTCGGGGCAATTGTCTCACAGTACTGTATATTAAGTAGATGCGAACGCATAGCGTTTATTTCTTTAAAAGTGGAAAATTACTTAGCGAAAATATCGCAGATTATTTGTATATCAATACATCGGCTTAAACATTCAATTAGCTGAATAAAGAGCGAACTTTTAAACTGCACGACGCTCAGGTTGGGTCCGATCTTGCCTTGAACTCAATGAATATGTCGTTGCTACTTTTTATTATTCAGTTAACTAATAATAAAATAATGTTTATTAAAAAAAAACAAATAATCTGCATAATTCGCTCTTATTAAAAAAAACAGCTAAATGAGTTTCCAAAATTGAAGCAGCGTGATTCGTCGGTCCTGGTATGTTATGTCGTTCTCAACATGTATTTAAATGCACGAGCAACATTAATTTTTAATGAACGAATAAAAACACACGTCGACTGGCATATTATATATATGTGTTATTTTGGTGGTCTGAAATGTGACAAGGACCCTGGTATTAATTACCGCCGCATATTTACTTTAGCCCTACTCCAGTCCGATAGGTGATGACCTCACAATCTCAACATGAAAGCTACATAGTATTTTGTGGCTCGCACGAACCCGACACATGCTATTTTGTTCGCCTTGGATTTCCCTGCTAATTAATTCACACACATTACGTAAAAAAGCAGCTTGTAAATATATCGATTTACTCAAAATAACCTGCTTGTTTGAAAATATCGGGATTTCGTTAAGTAATTCGACGGAAAACTACCCAAACCTGGTCTGACCCCGCACAGCGGTTAATGATTTAGTGACGTCACAGACAATTGGATGGTATTATGGGATGCCGTATTCTCTTGTGTTGACATGAGGGGATTTCGGAAAACCGATCACAACGTGCCGTTGTAGTGAAGCCATGGAACTCACCGAAGTTGGCGAACGAGTTTTCGCCGCTGAATGCATTCAGAAGAAACGTATTCGAAAGGTATGTGTCGGAGATCGTCGGCTGTAGACTGGTCGTCTTTCAGCCTCCATTTCGACCGTTCTAACATGTTTTTTCTGTGGTTTTCCTAGCAGGGTCGTGTCGAGTATTTGGTTAAATGGAAAGGATGGTCGAATAAGTAAGTGGGCTTCGTTCACTGCGCCGTCGTCTCGCGATCGGCGTTTTCGCTCTCATTTTGTCGCATTTCCCCACCCCTTGCATGTTTATGCTTACTATGGATAATATAAATCATGTTTTTGCTTTCAGGTACAATACATGGGAGCCGGAAGATAATATTTTGGACGATCGTTTGCTGGCTCTCTTCGAAAAGAGGTGTGTTATTATCGGATATCACTACAATGTATTAACCATCATGGCCGCAGTCGCTCTGTTTTGCTTGATGTTGTTTCTCCGCGCCTGTCTAATAAACTCGCTCGTTTTCTCGATTTTCGAAACGCTCATATTGCATACTGTATTATATATTTCAGTCTACTGGAGAGAGACGACAAGCCACTGGTTAAATGTCGAAAACGTTCGCAGTCAGAAAGCCAGGTAAATGTTCACTTTAACCGTCTGCGTTCGCAGTGCATTTTGTTAAAATCGCTTCCGACATTTCGGGTTTCGAATCGCTCGCATTTCGTTAAAAACAGTTAATTTTGGAAAATTATTTGATGGTCGTGTTAAATACTTATTTATTTTCCTTGCTTAATTTTAGGATGACGATGAACCAGATTCTTCACCAGATTCTGAACTAAACACGGAAGTACAGTCGTTACTCTCGAAGAACGAAATGTTGGTCGACGACGAGGAAAATGATGTAGAAATTAGTGAAGAAACGCCAGAGACCGTGGACGAAAGTGACCAAAAAATAGAGGAGATTGTTCCCGAGCCTCTGCCTGAACCCAAGGAAAAGAAAAGGAACAAGGAGAAGGACAAGAAAAAACGGAAGAAACGAAAAAGCGATAGTCCCGAGCGGAAAAAGAAGAAACGGGACAAGGATGGGAAAAAGAAATCTTCTAAGTCAAAATTGAAATTAAAAACGGATAGTAAACACAAAAAGCAGAAGGCAGGTAGAAAGAAGAAGAAATTGTCCTCTAAATCTGACGGAACTGTTGTCAAGCAAAAACCCTCATCCACGGTGGTATCTTCGAGACCTGTGAACGTCATCAAATCTACAGAGAACGCTGGTGTACTCGCTGTGAACGGTTCGACGAGTGGACCACCCGATATACTGGCTGCCAGTGGTGGAATCGCTAAGATGGCGGCAGTCACGCAAAGTCCAAAATCTGTTAAACCCAGCAAGAAGCATAGTCCCGCGGTTGAAAACGGCAAAGAGTCCGTTATTAAGAAAACTGTCTCAAAGGAAGTTGCAAACGTGAAAATCATCGAACAGCAGTCTACGTTGTCGTCGCCGTCGTCAGACCAGGAAAATTCACTTGAAAATGAAATCGGCCCGTGTTATGCTAATGTCGACGAGTGTACGTTGTTAAATCTGGCTGCTCGGTTGCAGAGTGGTACACTTACACCGTCGACGACCTGGCAGCCGAACAAACTGGCCGACGATGTGCTCATAACCGACGTCACTGCGAAAAACATCACCATCACTGTCAGAGAAAGCGTCACGTGCCAGGGGTTCTTTAAAGAAGACGAGTGATCGAAAACGCGTTGTTGTATGCACCGTTGAGTTGGAGGTCCAACGCGGACATTAACATGAACCGTATGTGACCGCATCACTCTGTTCTCTCGCGACTGTCAACATTTCATGTCTACTTCGTCGAAATATTTAATGGCTTACTTGTTTGTCATGGATACTAGACAGACAAACTGTGTCACACAATATATCATTTTAAAGTGACCGCTGCGATATTGTACTATATATATCAAATCCAGACCTGAGTCAAATGTTGTCTACCACGTGAGAGTTGCACACGTGAGTATATTACACCTCTGCTAACTGTCAGATTTGTGCAGATCTCGTTATAATATCCACGCGTCATATGAAGCTAATATTTTATAATGGTTTATATTTTTTGTCATGTTTAGTCATTGAGTATGGCATAGAAATATAGGGTTTTTTCGTATTCCAATACCTGTATACTTGTCAATAGTTTATTACCATCGTTTTATTATTATTATTATATATTAGACTAAATATAAACAGTCCACAATGTTTTAAAAAATAATATTTTATATATTATATATGTCGTTTATCTTGGAATTCAGAAGTATTTTTTTTTATTTATGTATATGAGCTAGCATCATCACTGCATGTAATGCATTATATAAGGTGTGTTTCGTGTATAATGCCGATGAGGTCAATAAAATTGTCGCAGCTTATTAGAGCAAACGATTCCATCTTCATTTGACCGACGGTCGATCGATCGATGATCAATACTCGCCCGTTGCTTACATTGTTATCGTGTTTTTTTACGCGTAGCTGTAGTCTCACCGCCGTATATTAATGATGCGTCCGAGACGTGCCTTGCATATATCTATCTCAAATCATTATTTTGCGACAGTTTTTTGCTGATTGAAAACAGACCTGAATTGTGATATATTCGTCATATTTATTTCACGGAAGATATTTAACTTCTGTTACGCAAATGCAACGTGTCCCCGCGCTGCTGTGAGATGTTGTGTTTAGAAGCGGAAATGGCTAAAATGAAGGACTCTCTTAGCAATAAATACAAGACTCGGTGCTATAACGTAAAGGGTGAAATGCCCGGCTTCCTTGTGAATACATCAGTGTGACATCAAATATTAAAATAACCTTTAAAGTTAGTTCAATCCGAGATGTGGATGACCGTTTCAATTGAAATATTATTCAAGCACAGCCGTGTATGTTCTGTCCCAACGAAATGTTGTTAAAACTCAAAACAGGTTCCTAGCTTTTAAGGTATCTGCCAGACTGGGAAATTATTTTGTCGGAGATTATGACAAGTATTCTGTTGCTGTGATGGTTCGCGTTTCTAAAGCCACAACACGTCTTTGTCCCCGTGATTACACCGGTCACAGTGCGTATTTTATTCTATGCCGACGCTGTGCCATTGTGGTAACCATTTACTGCGCCGAAATCCCTTTGTGGCACGGAGCGTTTGAATACCAAGAATGGTGTTACGTTTCACTCCCGAAAAAAAAACACTGCTCTCCAGAGCCGTTTCTGTCTCCCTTCCTCCATAGATCCATTTAGCGCGTTAACTCGGGGCCACTGCACGCCGTGTGGTCCGACCGAATCTCTGGTCACAGTCGGAACTAAAGAAACCACGCCAAGTGACGTGGAACGGGTTACCACAAACTAGACAAAGAATAAACGTGATTTTAGTTGTTTGGATTGCTTTCAGTCACAACGACTCATAGTAGTGGTGGTAATAGTGAAACGCTTCCAATATGTACGCTTGATCGGCTAAGCGAATCTTTCACATTAGAAATATGCCATTTCTTTCTATAGTTGTCGGCCGTTTGACGCTACGGAGTCAGGTAGTACATCTCATCCTCTCCAAAATTGACAACTATCGCCAGAACGCTATTCATTTTTAATCGATTTTAAGCATTTATTTAGTTTGTGTTTCACAATACCGGGCGGAATTGTCTCTGTCAAGTTTTTCACATCTTCTGGCCAACTATCCACCATACCGAGTGCGTTCCCCAGGGCCTGCCCACCCTCGACTCTATCAACGGGTCGACGGAACGCCCTAGGGACCGCCAAACCGAAGATTTGTTCCAGATATCAATGTTGCATAATATCACTTTGTTCGTGAATTGAGAAAAAATGAATTTATTTATTTCCTGACATCTTCCACATCCGTTAAGGACATTTGTATAATTTATTTATTAAAAAACTGTTTTTTTTGTAGAATATACATTGTATTTTGGAAACGTTTTGTATTGGGGCACATATATATAGCGATTGTGCATCGTGGGTGCTATCAGTTCATACTTACCGCATATTTTATAAGCAGTTGGTAAGTTGCACTGGTAAGTGCTAGTTATCATGGATCAACTTGCGTTACTACTAACAGAACGGACTATATTGTATTTGTTTCTAAACAAAACCTTTAAGTCTACAGTTTTATTCAGATTCACTAAAATTCCGCAGATGAACTAAAATCGCATTATTATGTGGTTAATTTCATTAACAAATTAGATTGATTGATGGTGTTCTTGCTTCCAATTCGCCGGAGTGGATGGAGAGGGCCCAGTATAGTTTAACTCAAACGCACGCAGTTAAGAAAACATCACGCCAACACAATACAGTTTCGCTTACGCGTATATTGTTTTCAGTCATCACGATATCGGTTTTATTTTGCGTTCGGTGTTTCTTCCCTTCAAAGTCACGTTCAGTTGTACATTTGACACTGCAATCATTACATGTGTTCCGTACAGTTAGTATACAGACTGAATTATACACGGCTGCCCGCAGCGCATGTAAAGATATACAAACGATTTTTTTACATATTTTTCTCTGCCCCCTGTCTTGGTATTATGTTATATAATCCTTTATCTTAGGGATACTATTTACTAATATGCAAATTAGGCGATTCGACGTCATTATATAGTTAATTAATTATTCTAATAATTATGATAATCAGTGTACATAATATGACATTCAGACTGGAACGTATCGTGTTTTTCCTGTTAGGATTTTGCAATTAAATTACATCTACATGCGCATACTAGTATTTGATAGTTTGGTGGTAATCTTCAATCCCAAAACACGAACGCTGCTACGGATGCACGTTGCTATAGCTACATTCACGATAAAGTAAATAGCGCTTCAGTCAAGACTGCCTCCCACAGGCACAGCTACGGTGTGGCAAAATTCGCGGTAATGATATGAAACAGCGTTGCCGTTAATCTAAGGTTGCGTAAGTATGGATACGACTATTCCCTTTAATGTAATAATTTGAGGTTACAAAATTCACAGTAATGTGAAAACTGATTGCTTAAGCGCGGACGTAGCTACGAATACGGCTATGGCAAAATGCATTTTATGTAAAATAGCTTTGCAGTGAAGCTAAAATTGTGTAACGTAAGCACGAACGTGTCTGTAATAATAGCATAGTGTAAAACCAGGGTTGCATAAGCACGGACGTGGATGCTGACGTGACTACGGCAAAATGTACGATAATGTAAAATGGCGTTACAGTTACAGACAAACTAAATAAACAAAGACGTGACTGTAATGGGAAAATGCAAGACAATATGATATTGCTGCAGTTACAGATAAACTAAATAAACAAAGACGTGATTATAATGGAAAAATGCAAGACAATGTGATATTGCTGCAGTTACAGATAAACTAAATAAACAAGGACGTGATTATGGAAAAAATCACGATAATGTAAAATATCGCTACAGTTACAGACAAACTAAATAAACAAGGACGTGATTATGGAAAAAATCACGATAATGTAAAATATCGCTACAGTTACAGACAAACTAAATAAACAAGGACGTGATTATGGAAAAAATCTCGATAATGTAAAATATCACTGCAGTTATAGACAAACTAAATAAAGAAGGACGTGATTATGGAAAAAAATCACGACAATGTAAAATATCGCTGCAGTTACAGACAAACTAAATAAACAAGGACGTGATTATGGAAAAAATCACGATAATGTAAAATATCATTGCAGTTATAGACAAACTAAATAAACAAGAACGTGATTATGGAAAAACACGATAATGTAAAATATCACTGCAGTTATAGACAAACTGAATAAACAAGGACGTGATTATAATGGAAAAAATCACGATAATGTTAAATATCGCTGCAGTTAAGATGAGATTGCATAGGCATGGATGCAGCTACGGACGTGACTGCAATAGCAAAATTTACGATAATGTAAAATAGCGTTGCAGTTAAAATAAGATTGCATAAGCATGAAGGCAACAGCTACGGACGTGACTGTAATAGCAAAATTCACGATAATGTAAAATAGCGTTGCAGTTAAGATGAAATTGCTTACGCATGGATGCAGCTACGGACGTGACTGTAATAGCAAAATTCACGATAAGGTAAAATAGCGTTGCAGTTAAGAAAAGACTGCACTAGCATGGATGCAGCTACGGACGTGACTGTAATAGCAAAACTCACGATAATGTGAAATAGCGTTGCAGTTAAAATAAGATCGCACAAGCATGGATGCAGCTACGGACGTGACTGTAATAACAAAATTCACGATAAGGTAAAATAGCATTGCAATTAAAATAAGATTGCACTAGCATGGATGCCTCTACGGACGTGACTGTAATAGCAAAATTCACGATAAGGTAAAATAGCGTTGCAGTTAAGAAAAAACTGCACTAGCATGGATGCAGCTACGGACGTGACTGTAATAGCAAAATTCACGATAAGGTAAAATAGCGTTGCAGTTAAAATAAGATTGCACAAGCATGGATGCAGCTACGGACGTGACTGTAATAGCAAAATTCACGATAAAGTAAAATAGCGTTGCAGTTAAGATAAGATTGCACGAGCATGGATGCAGCTACGGACGTGACTGTAATAGCAAAATTCACGATAAAGTAAAATAGCGTTGCAGTTAAGATAAGATTGCACAAGCATGGATGCAGCTACCGACGTGACTGCAATGGCAAAATTCACGATAAGGTAAAATAGCGTTGCAGTTAAGAAAAGACTGTACTAGCATGGATGCAGCTACGGACGTGACTGTAATAGCAAAATTCACGATAAGGTAAAATAGCGTTGCAGTTAAGAAAAGACTGCACTAGCATGGATGCAGCTACGGACGTGACTGTAATAGCAAAATTCACGATAAGGTAAAATAGCGTTGCAGTTAAGAAAAAACTGCACTAGCATGGATGCAGCTACGGACGTAACTGTAATAGCAAAATTCACGATAAGGTAAAATAGCGTTGCAGTTAAAATAAGATTGCACAAGCATGGATGCAGCTACGGACGTGACTGTAATAGCAAAATTCACGATAAGGTAAAATAGCGTTGCAGTTAAGATGAAATTGCTTACGCATG